GTATTTCCCAAATCCCGCTTCGGGGCTGGAGCTGATGCACGGCCCTGGCTTTGCTCTTTCCCAGCTTCCACCTGCTGATCCGAGGGGCCAAGCACCAATGCCGGGACACTCGCTCTGCCTGGTGAGCGTGGCCATCCCCGTGGCGTTCAGCCACGTCTTGCTAGGGCACAACGCCTCGTTTCCCGGGCAGCCCGGTCCCCGCGGTGGGGCAGGCTCGTGCAGGAGGTGGCTTTCTCTTGCCTGCGGTCACGGAGCCATACAGTCCATCCCTGGCTTCCTCCTGGCTCCCTTGGTGGTGGCCTCTGCCTGACAGCCTCCTGCTTTGGAGAAGGGAAAGCCTTAATATTGGGAATATTGAGTGTTTGCTGCGCCGCCAACACTGAGACTCTGCTCACGTTAAAAATGCCTCATGATTATGCCGCCCTTTAAATTTAAACTATTTCTAATGGCATTCATGCCAACTTTCGCAAAAGCCAATACATCCTCCCACCAGCCCACAAACCGCTGCGAGAATAAGAACTTTGCTAAAATGCTACGTTTCCGTTAATCGAAATCCATATGGCTGGAAATACAGTATTGTTTCTTAATAAGGCTGAAGCATCCATTTCACGCAGGTATTTAACAGATGGTGGAGCACAGCAAACTCGTGTCGTTCAGAAGTTCATACATTATACATTTTTTGAGGGGAGATTTCGGTTTAGTCTTCCCAAGTGGGAAAATTCCATTACACGAAGCAAAATGGAAGCTGGTATTTAATGAGAGGTGCTGGAGATGCGTTTCTCTGGGATTAAACTATCTGGAGTTTTAGTGGGATCACGGCAGGGAAAAGACTATTCCTAGGGGCTGGTCGGGGTGGATCTGTAGGAGCCTGAAGCTGGGCAGGTGGAAAAGGCCTGGGCCCTAAACCCAGCAGCCGGTCAGATTGGCATCTTTGGTGTCTCCCAGCAGCTATCGCTCGAGTCGTTTCAGTAACGGCTGCCTGAGCTTTACAGAAAACGTAAAGGCTATTTTTCAGCTGGGAGAGGAAAGGGAAATGTGGCACATGTCGCTGTGAGAGTGGCTCTGCAGACGTATGACTGGACCGACTAGACAATCCATCAGCGCAGACTGAGTTTGGACACAGGAATATCATTTTAAAGAACAGATTTGCACGATTCAAACTGCTGAATGTCTCCATGCCAGGGCTGTGTATTTCCCATGGTGAGCAGCTTCTGTTGCTGGAGACCGGTGATGTTTGGGGTTATTTCTTCCCATCTGTTCCTTGGGTTGTGCTGGGGTGGCAGAAGGGGTCAGAGATGGAAATGGGGGTCCCAGGAGGCAGAGACCAGCCACCGCTCCGTCCTTGGTGGTGGGACAACGGCACCTTGGGGCAGATGCTTCCAGAGGTTTTGCTGAAGTGGCTGGTGGGGGCCATCGGCGTTGTGCCTCATGGCAATGGAGGATGTGTTCTCTGCCCGATTTCTCCCCAAATGACTTAAAAATAGGGGATGCCATTTAGAGAGGAAGGTGGAGGCTGAAGACCAGGACCCTCTGACATTTGCACCTGCCCCAGAAAGGCTGTTGCTCTACCCCAGGGATGGAGGGGGAAGTGGCTGCTGGATGCAGTGGCAGCATTTGGTCCCCTTCCCTGCCTGGCCAAGCCCTTGGGGTGCAGTGTGCTCTGTCTTGCAGATGAGTAAACCCTGAGAAAACAGGCTAGAATGCTCAAACTCTCACGCTGGTGCACAGGGGCTCCCGTTGCCCGTGGGAGGTCTGCATCCTCTGCAGGAGGATGGGGCACGGGAAACGAGCCACAAGCAGAGGGGTTTAATTTTCATTTTCATAAAGAAAGGAAGGAAACTCAAGCAAGTAAGGGAAGGAACGGGATGTTCAGGTACAGCCTACTGAAACTCCTCCGTCCTGGCGGTGTGAGGTTTTTGGGATGACGCTGCCTCTTCCAGATGTTTGCAGCCCATTTAAGATCATTGTAGTCTTAATGGCTGAGCTATAAAAACCGAGAGCAAATTAGCATTTATAAATGTGATATTTCATGTGTATTTGCAAATGCAATTTATGTCACATGAAAAGCCCATTTGCAAACTCCGAGTCATGAATTGCTCTAATCAGGAATTACATGTAATTCACATAATTTTGCAAATTAATGATCCCAGCTCTACCTCACCATGGCAATGCCAAGGCGTAGGGTGGATGTGCAGACCGAGGCTCTCACTTCTGCACTCAGCAGGATGGTCATTGGCCATAGCATCCACAGTTTCTGGGAGCTGCCAAGGAAGCACGCTGGCGGGGAAGGGAAGAATTTTCACTGTAAACCAGGAGCAGACGGGCTGAAGAATAGCACAGATTTTTAAAAGGTCAAGTTTCCATGTACGGTAGCAGGGGAAAATGCTCTGGGGGTGAAGTGTAAATAGATGGGGCTGTGTGGCAAGGAGAACAGCATAATCGGCACGTGGTTTCTGCAGACACTGAGCACTCCTTTAATTATGATCTCCCTGCATTTTTCCCAGCTGGAAGAGAGCAAAGCAAAGTGTGCGGAGGCCCAGAGGTCCCAGCAGACAGCAGCCCTGGAGCTGGAGAACTTGCACACGGAGATGGAGACCCTCAGCAGAAACAAGACCCTGGTGTGTTCGTGGGGATACAGCTGGGGACGGGGGGGTGGAAGGGCAGTGGCACAGCCCTACCTCCTCCTGTTCAATAGCAATAATCAGCTTTTTTACTAAATCTGCAATAATCAGCATCCTTAGTAAATGACCCAACCTCTCTGGGGGGCTTAATGGATAGATAAAACTACTAGAGAGGCGCAGCATCCCGTAGCTCCGCTCTGCAGATATGCAGGAGCTCCCTTTGCCTCTCCTGGTGCGAGGACAGGGTCGGAGGCTGGTGGCAATGTGTCCCAGAGGATGCTGTAGTCCAGGAGGTGCCGGGGGGTGGGTGTCCCATGCGATGCACGAGCCAGCAGCTCTGTCCCTTCTCCTGCAGGTGGATGAACAGCTGTACCAGCTGCAGCATGAGAGAGCAGACCTCCTGAAACGCATCGATGAGGACCAGGAAGACCTGAACGAGCTCATGGCAAAGCACAAGGCTCTGATCGCCCAGGTAGGAGCCGGTGCAGTGGAGGCTGAGCAGCATCCCCCTCTCCAGGAGAGTGCTTGGGAAACCCTGCAGCCTGGCTGAGAGCTGATGGCAGCTCCCATGGGTGCCCAGCAGCTTGGGCACCCCAGGGAGCAGATGCTGGGATGAGAGGAAGGGGTGGCTCACAGCTCTGGCTCCTCTCACTCATAGTTTTGAGTCTTCTTTCAAGAGGTGTCTCAGCTTTAGTTTCAATAGGTGAGAAATCCTGTAGCATCCCTGTCTGGATCCTTTTCTATTCTTTCTTTCACTGTTTTCTCACGTAGAGCTTTAAAAGTGCTGACAGGCAGCCCTGGGGCTTTCTGCGCAATATCCAGACTGAGGCAGGCTCTCCCAAAGGATTGTACCTGGAGCTGAGGGACCCCAAGGCTCCTGGTGGAGCAGGGGTAGGCTGGCGAGACGCCTAATTCACAGTCTGGTGCCCCTTGCAGTGTGATACTGAGCTGGGAGTCTGTATCTGAAAGAACCCTGACGTCAGAAATGACCTTGACAACATGGTTTCTTTCCTGATCTGCAAACCTTTGTTTCAAAAATTAGGAAAGCTGCATCGAGTCAGGAGAATTAAGCTCCTGCAGTCCGGTGCAGGAGTAGCTTACTGTTTCGGTGATAGGAGGTGCAGGCACGAGCCAGCCTTTGTCACCGCGCTCCCCATGGCACGTGCCCTCTGCCCCAAGCCCTGGGGGCTGCTCCCACTGCTGTGCTTTCTCTTTCCACAGTCGGCAACAGATATCGCTCAGATCCGGGAGCTGCAGACGCAGGTAGAGGATGTGAAGAAAGAAAAGCAGAGCCTTCAGGAGAAGGTAATTCCCCCCCAGCCCGTAGCACCCAGAACTGAGGAGTGAGAGCCATCCAGCCGCCCACTGACATGTCTGTGCCCAGTGCATCACCGGTGCCAGTCATGGATGCCGTGTTCTTGTATGAAGCCAGACCAGGTCCATACCCCAGTGGTAGAAAGCCATTTCCCCTTCATAATAGGGTCAGGTTCCTCTTCCCAACGTGCTGTACATGTCCCCGAGAGCAGCATGGTGCACAAGCCGCTCTCTGCCTGCTGCACACCCCATCCCCAACTCTACGGCTGGGATGGAGCCAGGACAGGCTGTTGGGCTCTGCCAGCAATGGTCTTGGGCTGGAGAAAGGTTTCCCTGGCAAGGCTCTTCGGATGGAGACCCCCAGTTCTCCCTCGTCCCTTCCTGAGCTGCTGGTACCCTGGCTGGGATGGGGCTGACCCCAGGATGGGGCTGACCCCGCAATGGGGCTGACCCCATGGTGGGTGCTGCACTGCCTCACCTCTTCGGCTGCACCAGCCCTCCTGGTGTGCCTGGATTTCAATTTAAACAGATGAGTAATTCCATTAATTTAAGTGCCTTAGCGTAGCTAAGCTGCCCAGGAATCAGAAGCAGGACTCACTCCCTCTGAGGCAGAGCGGGTGGTGCTTTAGAGATAGGCCAGATAAAAGAAGACAAAATTGCATAGTTCTAGGTCAAATACAAAATCTGAACCAAACTTGTACTGGGATCGCTAAAAGGGCAGTTTGCTTTGGAGATCTCAGTGTAGCAGCTGAAGAAAAGGGTTGGTCCTCTCAGCTTTCCACACAGGGGTAAATTGAGAATTTTTACGCCTGCTGCCTTCAAAGGGTTTTTGAGAAAAGAAAAGCAAAAAAGATGCAGACATGCATGGCACTTTTTTCATACAAAAATACGTGCTTGTGTCGTGCATTTACTGTGCAGTATTAGCAGCAGGGAATCCTTTGAGAAGCCAAGGGCAATGCTTTTCCATAGTGCCCCATCACCTCGGGGCCACGATTGATCCTTGTGGGAAGGGGATTGGGGGGTGTTTGCACGGGGTCAGGGGCCGGGGAGGTGCTAATGCAGCCCATGCTCTCCCAGCTGCAGGCAGCGCAGGCCAGAGCAGCACGCCTGGAGCAGTGCCCGGCCGAGCGCTCCATCGTCAGCCGGCAGGAAGCCCGCATCCGTGACCTGGAGAGCCAGCTGGACTTCCAGGCTGTGCAGATGAAGCGCTTTGAGGTACCACCTCTTCACCGCTCGTAGAGGGGATGCAGAGCTCTGGCGAGATGCAGCTTCCTTGCAAAAGGCAGGCACAGTGATGCCACCGCCTTGGCTTTGCAGGGAAGAAGCGCCTGGAAAGGGGTGTGGAGGGACATATGGGGTCTTCAGCGAGCTCTCCTGTGCTCATGGACAATCCATAGCAGTCACACCATTGCCTTATCGACTACATGTACTTTACTGCGGTGTTTATTGAAAGCTGTCAGTGGGTGCAGTGCTACAAGCACCCAGAGGTCCCTGCCTCTGGACATCAGTGCAGTGTGTGCTGACTGCTCAGCACATCCATCACAGCACCTTTCCGACGGGCATCCCTCTGCTCTGGCATTGCCCAGAAGTCAGGACATCAGGGTCAATCACAGTATTTCACTGTCCCCATTAATCAGCACGCCCCCAGGATTTTTTACTGTCACTTCTTCCCCGAGTCCCACTGCCCAGGCGTGAAGGAAAATGCTCTTGTGCCCCCAAAACATCAGCAGCTCCGGGGGACGTGGCATGGTGCCCGTGAGGCTGTGTAGCACACATCGCACCGCAAGCTGTGCCGCACCGCGCCAGCCCTCGCCACTTCTCCCCTTCCAAGGGATGGAAACGATGGACGGACGGGCAGCCCTGGGGCATGTGTGTGCTGTGGTGTGTGCAGTGCCGGACACAGGGACGGGCTGGGGTCTGCACCCTAACTCCTCACCCCCATCTCCCCAGGTGCTGGTGCTGCGCTTGCGAGACAGCATCATAAAGATGGGTGAGGAGCTGGAGAAGGCGGCCGAGTCAGAGGCACGGGAGAAGGAGAGCACCAGGTACTACCAGAGGAGGATGGAGGAGATGAAGGCGGACATGGATGAGCTGGTGCAGAGGGAGCTGGAGTCCAGCCGCCGGCGCGTAGAGCTGGTAAGGGGTGTTGACCCCCGCAGGCTCGTGCAGCCTCAGGGTCACGGGGGGGGCTGCTGCTGCTGAAGGTTACCCCCCTGTAACCTGCACGTTGGCCTGAGAGTCCTGGAAAAGTAATTCTGTGTGTGGTGCTTTGTGTGCTGTGTTTGGAGATGGAGCTGGGCAGGTTGCTGTTAGCTGGCCCCCGCACAGGTAAGCCGGGGTTCCCAGGCTGCTCCCCCATGGCTGCTGTGGGTCTTGCTCATGTCAGGGTGTCAGGTTCAGCTTTGGCAGCGGAGCTGGGGAGCGCTCGGAGAGGCGGGGAATTGCTTCACATCCCTGAACAGCCCCAAACCATTGAACCGAGGCTGTTACCGAGGCACATCACGTTCCATTTCTCCATAGCTGGGCTGTCCCTCTGCTCCACGTTTTATTCCAGGAAGGAGATTGCTTTGCCTGCTCAGCTCTAAGAATTGCTGGGAAGTTGCTTACGTCATTCCTGCACCTCCTTGTGCTGCTTTTCCTTGGGTCAGGCAGAACCGCAGTGGGGACGAGCTGTCCCCAAAAACCCTTGTCCTCGTGCCAGTCCCCCGTTTGCCGAAAGCCATCCGCATGCCGGGGCTCAGCCTGAACGCCAGCTCCTCGTGGGGCTCCTGGCTTTGCCAAAATCCATCCCCCCGCGGTGTGGCGGTGTGCCAGGCAGTGCCGACAGGCAGCTAACCTGCTCTGCGCACGCAAAGCCCCAACCGGATTTGGAGTACGGCAGAAATAGATTCACCTTCATTCTACAGTCCTCTACGAGCATCTCCTTCGTGGTGTTTCCTTCCAGTAAACAAAAGGAAAGCCGTGCTTCCGAGCAGTAATTGAAAGATATTGCATTTCTCTGGCAGCACAGCCACATTAGAAGCAGTTATTTTATCAATAATCTTTTATTTAACAATCAAGGAGATTTCAGCATTTATTTCGCCCCGAGGCTGCCAGCCTTTCTGAAAGGAATGGTGCTTTAGTGTGAATTACTCCACACCCCCTACCTATGCCGGGAACAAGCTTTGTCCTTGCTCTGCCAGCCTGGATCCTACGTGCTCACGCGCGGCTCTGGCCGCCGGGACACCCTCCCCGGGGGAAGGAAACGTGTCTCCCCTCTAGGCTGGAGTCGTGCAGCCATCGATGCTTTTCAGAGTCCTGAGATTTGACGAGCAGACGCTTTGCTGAGTGCCTGCCAGCCTCAGGCGTGCCAGGCAAGACCCCAGGGCTGCCTGCTGGGCGTGCAGCAACCCCCCTTCCGGGGCTGGATCCCGCTGCTTTCCCTGCAGGTGCCAAGCCAGACACGGCTTCAGTTGCTATGATAACTGTGTGTTTGTTGCAGCTTTGTTAGAAATGCGATGTTTTGGCACACAGATGCGCTGTCTGTTAGGATACGGGTGGGTTCTTCTAGCTGTATTTTTGTATTTGGGCATGTATTTTTAGAAGCTTTTTGAATGTTTCATGTGGGGATGTGAATGATGGGTGTAGCAAGATACTTGGTCTTCTTAGCACGCTTGTGTTCTCACAAATGAAGTTTGCAAAGAAGTCTGAAAGGGATTTTAGAGGCGCCTCCCAGGAACAAACACAAAACCTCATACACAGACCAACTCCTAAAGCAGTTCTGAGGGGTCTGGCTTTATCCGGACACCCAGACATCGGGATTACCTGGCATCCGCTGCAGCGGGGGCAGGAGGAAGGAGCCTGGGTGAGCTGCAGTGGGTGAGCCCCTGCAGACACCTCTCACCAGCCCCGGGTTGCTCCCGTGGGAAGAATCGGGGCTCCCTGAGCCCAGCACGGCACGGAGCATCACGGTGTTCCCCGGCAGCAGAGGCATTCCCGCAGACTGTGCGTACTCTTAGCAGCCCTTGCATAAAACATAGCGGGAGAGCTGTGATCGCAGAGCCCAGCCGAGCTTGTCGAGCGCCTGATGGGGAGCATCAATAGTTAATAGAAAGCCACTTACGGCTCTGCTCCTGTTAAATCCCCATCAATTATAAATGCTGCATGAATTATTCACTTAACATTACTTCAGGCATGGTCTGCACCTAACAATTTTTTTAAAAAATTTATTTAAATAAACAGTCGGAGGTTGTGGACTTGCCACGCACTGTCAGGGTTTTAAGTGATGCAGTGAAGGGACAAATTCATTGTACAGATTGGGTTAGAAATCTTGTTTCCTTGGGTCTTACGAGCTGGTGCCTGTATATAAGGTGTTTTATTCTCACAGCTCGTATTTATCAGTGGTGGAGGCATTTGGAAAATCCCGTCCATCCCCACACCTTCAGCCAGGCTCAGGACAGCTGCTTTCATCCCTCGTTTTCGACCCAGCTTTGGGCAGTTGGGAGGAAGAAGCTTCCTCGTGCTCACGGCATTCACAAGCAGCAGGGAAAATCCGTCGAGAAGTAGGGATGGGAGCTGGAGAGCTGACTGCCAGGCAGATGGCTCTGCCTTATGAATTTTGTAAGAAGAATGGGGTTTGAACACCTTCCAAGCCCAGCGCCACCGTAGCGAGGGAGGCATGTTTTCTGACGGCGGGGGCAGTGCTTGGCCCTGCTTGTCTCTGTCTTTGCTCCAGTTGCATGTACTGAATTTCCTCCAAGGAGCTGTAGCTCCTCTTCTGATAAAATCTGGATCCCAGCCTGCAATAGCTCCTCGTTTCTCAGCTGCTGCGCTGACACCCGGAGCTTGACAGGCCAGACCCAGGCGCCTGGTCTCCTTGGGTCACAGCAGAAACTGAGTCCTAGCGAGAAGCGAGAGATGGATTTCCAGCTTAGAGTTGGTCTCGGGGAGCTTAAAGCCAAGACCTGGTCTCTGTGCTCATTGGGTGTGCACGCACGCTTGTGCGTGTCCTGACACTTGTCCCCTGGTGAAGCTGCCTGGTGTGGCGCAGGGAAGGATGGAGCAGGGGCTGGGACCAGGCGTGGGGCAGGGGTGTGTGGGGCAATGAGCGTCCGTCACTGCAGCTCGGACCAGCCACCAGCCGTGGTTTCCCTCCTGAGGCTGTTGTTAGGGCAGGATGGTGTTGGGTGCTGTGCACAGCTCCTGGCATCAGTGCTCTGGAGATGATGCTGGAAATGGGTAGAGGGTCCATCGTGCGCCCTGGGAAAGCAAGGGGGTGTTTGCAAGAGGCCTGGTCTCAGCTGTTTTGGGTGTCCACAGCCACCACTAAAAGCCCCAGACAGGGGCAGGGACACTGCATGAGGACCCTGTCCCATGTCTTGCCTTTTTGGGGCAGTTTCACATCCTGGCAGAGCATCTCCTTCCTTATCCATGGGTTTGCTGCAGCAGAAGGGGAGATGCAAGTGACTAACAAGTCAGGATGGACAAATTCCCCTTTTAGACAGTAATTCTGCCAGCAGGTGCCAAGCAATAACTAAAAAGCTTAAAGAAGCTCATGTTCCTGTGAGGAGGTACCTACAGCTGTGCTGCCCATGACCGAACTGCCTGTGCAGCTTGGATTTTATGGGAGAAATCAAGCAGCTGTCGGAGCTCTGGGATGGGATCTCAGCCAAGGAGCCCTGGGTCCCTCCTGCCTTGGAGAGCTGGGTGCCTCGTGCCCACGTGGGCTGTGCCAGGACACCTTGCTGGGATTCCCAGGGAAAAGCAGGGACTGATCCTGCTGGGATGAAGCCCCAGCTGGAAGAGACGTGTGCTGGGAGCTTCTCTGCGTCTCCTTCAGCCGCCCTGTTCTGCTAACCCCCCCTCCAGCCCCCCCTCCATGGGGGGCTTGCGGGTGCTATCTTAAAATCAGGTTTCTTTCACGAAGCTGTGAAATGCATCAGTGTAATAATTAACTATTTTTACTGAAAACCGAAGCACAGGTGTGAAGATATTCTTCACGCTTTTCTTTTTTTAAAAAAAGGTGAGAGTCGCAGTGTAAATAACCTTTTTTTTCCTGGTTCTTAGGACGGCAGATCTCCTTTGTAACGCAGCCGTTGCCGCCACGCAATCCAGCAAGCGGTAGCCCGTTACCTTCTGGTCTCTAAGATTGGGGTTTTTTAATTTTATTTTTCATTTGCAAGCTTTAAAGATTTTTTTTTTTTGGTAGTTTGAGTGAACTTGAGAAGCGAAGTGGGAGCTGTTTGTGCCTCCAGCTGGGAATGTCACGCTCCCACCCAGGCAAACCTACAGCTCCCAGCAGGGTCCCAGCCAAAACCCTCTGATGTCTCCGCAGCCAGCACTGCCCGCTCCTGGGTCTTCTGGAGCTGCTCTTTCCTTTAAAAGCTAATGACTTTGACTAAGTGTAACGACAATTATCATCAAAGGGAGCCAGTCCTTAGAGGTGAGGTTGGGTGATGGAGCAGCAGTGAGTGAAAACTCAACCGTATATGGCTAATTAGGCCTGTTGTACAGCAGGTATGTGATTTCTGGTTTGCCATTAAAGAATTCAATTCTTAAATCATCAGCACTCGCGGCTGCGCACACCAATTACCGGTAACGCCGGTGTTTGCGAGCGCAGAGAGCGCCGCTCGCCCCGTCTCACTCAAGACTTCAACCGCGGAGATTTTGTCACTTCAAACTTTCTGAAAACCCGTGAGTTAATTACTTAATTAAAAATAATAATGATTGATGAGTACTGCAGGTGTACGCTAAATTATTCAAATAGAAGCAAACCAAATTGGGCTAATTAGATTACACTTCACTTCAGGTGGATGGGAGCTTGCGAAGGTTATGTTGTGACAGCAGAACCACCAACAAAAATAAAAGACAGCGAGGAGGATGCGGCGCTGGATGCTCTGCGGTGCCTGCCTTGCATCCTTTTATAGTCCCGTGAATTATTTCACTACTGGTTTCGCTTAGGTCTTTTTAACTTATCTTCAAATACTTCCAAGACAAAATTAGCTGAAAAAGAAACTCTTAAGAAAAAGAGGGTTTAGAAATCCTTTTCCAGAGAAGCAAGGAAAGCAAAGCCAGGATGTGGAGGGACCAGGGGAAGGGATAGGAGAAAAGGGGTTGCCAGCTGAGATGTCCCCTCTCCCGCTGTTTCCAGGGGTGGA